GGCCGGCGGGGGGGCGGCGCTGCGGCGCCAGCCGCAGAAGTGGCTGGTGGAGCAGGCGGGCAGGGCAGGCTGCGAGCCCAAGGGCAGCAACAACATCGAGATCGTCAGCACCTCGCAGACAGCCAAAGTCATCGTCTCTGTCAAGGACGCCGTGCCCACCATCTTCTGCGGCAAGATCAAGGGCCTGTCGGGGGTCTCCACCAAAAACTTTTCCTTCAAAAGGGACCTGCCCCAGGACTCGGTGCTGCAGTGCTACGACGTGAAGAGCCCGCCCGAGCCCCGGGACGCCGCCGAGGCCCTCAGGAAACCCGTCAAAAACAGGAGCGTTAAGCTAAAGAAAATGAACTCGCCGGAGATACACATTCTTCCAATCAAGAAGCAACGGCTCGCTGCCTTTTTTCCAAGAAAGTAAATTATGGGTTTTTAGAATTTTAAGATTATTATGAGAAGAAGAAAAAGGAAAAAAAAAAAAATAATAAAAAGATGCACTTGGTTTTAAACTCATTTAAAACTTTAAACTATCTTTGTAAGTTATTTTTTGGGGGAAGAGGGAGAGGATCAGATGTAGAGTCCCTATAAGCTGGGTTGTTGGTTTTTTTTTTGTTTTTTTTTTGTTAATAAATTTTGACTTTTCATGGGAAACTGAATAAAAAGCAACCTATTTTTCAAGCAGATTGCACATTTTGCAGCTTTAATGGAGTAATGGATGAGTCAGAGGGGTAAGAGCTATTTTCACTGCCATAAAGTGCTTTGATGATGTAATTCTTCATAACAGTCAGAGTGGAAATTTCAAAATAAATGTTTGTATGTGCTAATTGTTTGCGGCATTTTTTGGTCATTTCTGAATCACTATCAGTGTACAGAGAAGGTCTGGAAAAAAGTCTGTAAACTGCCGCAGCTGAACTGTGATGAGCTTAAAATGTTAAGAAAAACACAACAGGCTAAGAAAAATGACATTGTCCCACCGCGCTGTCAGAGAGCGCGTCACAGCAGCTGCCAACAACGCACCCAAATGAGCTGCTGAAGGAGCAGGAGCAAGTGAGAGGTACAGCCCTGTGTGCACCTGCCACCAGCTTCATTACAAGAGGCCCATAGGAAACCATCTGAAAATGTTAAGTAATATTAGCAGTCATTTAAAAGAGAAAATCCAAAAGTCAGGGGAATTTGGTTGCCGGGTAGCAGGCAGAGGAGGAAAAGGCGCATAATTTTTCCCAGCCTGACTACAGATACATGGAAAAGTTGTCTACTGTTAGCTCTGTGAAGTTTTTTTGACAGCTGAAAACAACACACATGAAAGAGCAGAACTGTGTAACTTAATTACTTGGCGGTGTACACACACCCCCCACATCAATGGAGAAATGTGAATGTACAATTCAAATAAAAGTACTGGTAGGTTACGTTTTTTTTGCACTCGTGTATGGAAATGAGCCGGAGATGCATCATTCTGTGTTGGCTTTTAAGTTCACACAGCTCACTTGTAAAAACCCATCCCGAGGGAAGAACTAACATGAGAGGAAGGGAACAGTTTTCAGTGGGCGCTGCCTTTTTGTGGCTAGACCTGTTAAGTGGGAAAATTATTTTTTTATTATTTCAAATGACATGGGACCATTTGGGAAAGTTTTTGCAGTCTTTCATGCAATGAGAAGTTGCCCAAAGAAGGCAACTTCAGGGTTAGAAGTCTAACCCCATCCTTAGGCACTAGGATCATGCTGAATCCTGTTGTCACCTTAGATGCCAAGACACATCAACTTGGTATTCGGAAAATGCATCTGCATTAGGAGGTTAGTAAAGGCATGCTGCTGCCCTTTTGCTGGGCTGAAGGATTGCTACCCTCTTGCTTAATATCAAAATCAGGGATCAAATTTTGCCAAACTCTTGTTTTTTAAGTATTTTTCAAGTCTTTTATTTTCCCCAAAGCTGGCAAAACTGACAATGTTCAGAAAAGTATGAAGTGTTGATGGATTCATTAATGCAAAGTCATCTGATTGTATTTTTTAAAAATATTTTTCTTTTTCTTAATTGAAAATGCTCTGCTACTTTGTTTTGCTCCTTCCAAGAAACCGTGCTGAGGAAATATCTCATCTTCTGGTTATTGCAGTGCAGAGGCTCAGGATTTCAATGTCCCTTGGGACAGCTGTCCCAGCCGTCACTGTCCCACTCTGTTTCAGCTGGGCCCACTCCAGAGCGTCAAAAACCTTTTGAAAATCTAGTTTTGCCTGGGGCTACACCAGATTATTTAAAAAGGAGGTCACAGCATTAGCTACTGTCGTTTTTATTCCGCAGCTGACAGAAGCAAGTTCAAAAGCAGTTTCTGGGATATTTATTTATTTATCCATTTATTTAAAGTAACGACCGCCCCAATCCCTGCCGCCTTGCGCAAGCATCTCGCCCCGCAGCATCTTCAGGAGGCAGGTGAGGGTGCCCAGCTGCTGCACACCCCTCCCACCAGCCACAGGGCACCTGCAGCAGGCAGAGCACTGCCAGTCGGCACC